CAGTAAAAATATAGATTTTTTGGACTTTTTTGCTTCGCTATCGTTTGTTTTTCTATAGAATCATGTCGGTCACTCCATTGACACAATTTATTCGCGCTTCAGATAATGTGGTCAAATTTATTGCCTCATACCATATACTTAAGCCAGAGACTCATACAATTTTCAGCCTTGAAATTCAAAGTTCGGAACTTCAAGAGTTATGGTCTAAAGTCAAGGACACTTACGACAAGTGTATTGACTATTTGTTGACAATAGAGGGTACGACTTCAGAGCAGATCTCTTCTGTCGATTCAAAATATCAATCATCTAATAAAAGTTTCACTGATTGTTTGTCGGAGATCAATGAAAAGATACATAATTTTAAGTCGGTGAAATCTCCTACTGCAACTCCTGTCGTCGTTAATGCTAGCACACCGCAAACTACTTTAGCTCCGAATCTTCCACAAATCGGTATTGAATCTAATCAACCTCCTGCTCAAATTAATAGTTCTAGTAATAGTTTGAATATGAATATCCAAAATTCATCAAATATTGTTCAAACAGAATTTCCAAATCCTGCAGAAGTTTCCATTTCTAATTGGAGTTTGCCTCCAATAGTTTCAAATACCATGCATTACCTCAACTTACCACCGTGTGAGATTGAGGAATTTCATGGAGACTTCTTATCGTGGCCCACATTCCGGGATCTTTTCTCTGCTATATTTATTAACAACTCTCGATTAAGTGACATCGAAAGGCTTTGTCACTTAGTTCAAAAAACAAAAGGTGAAGCTAGGGAAATTGTGTCTAAGTTTCCACTCACCCATAAAAGTTTCGCTATGGCTTGGCAGTCGTTGAAGGATACGTACGACAATAAACGTATTCTAGTGCATAACCATCTCAAGCTCCTTTTTGACCTTCCAGTGTTAGATTCTGAATCTAGTTCTAATTTAAAAATTCTACAGCGTGGTATCAACGGCTGCATTTCTGCTATGTCAGTGTATGATGTAGCTACGGATCACTGGGATCCTATTTTAGTATATATTTGTCAACAGCGTTTACCTAAACTAACTGTAGCTTTGTGGGAACAGAGTATTAAAGATAAATCTTCGCTATCGTCGTGGGAAGACTTAAACAAATTCCTTACTGAAAGGATTCAAACTTTAGCTTGTTTACGAGACATGAGATGTTCTCCTTCTAGTCCGATTTCGAAAAATAAAGTCAAAACCCATATGGTTACTTCAGTGGTTAAAAATAAGTCGAAATCATGCATTCTTTGTAGAAATGAATTTCATTCATTACGCTCATGTCCAAAATTTAGAACTCTTTCGTTTGAAAAAAGATTTGAAGTGGCTAAAAAACAAGGTTGTTGTTTAAATTGCCTGTCTGTAGGACATTCCGTCAAGAATTGTGCCAGTAGTAATAACTGTAATATTTGTAAAATTCGCCATCATACTTTGTTGCACAGGCCTACTGCTTCTCCTCAATCATCTAGGATTGGTTCTCCTCACACCTCTAGTAATGGTTCTCCTCTATCGTCTAGGCCTTCGTATCCTATCGCGACAAATGTTGTCAATCCTCCACAAGTAGATGGCAATGTGGCATCAACTTCTACTGGCAACACTCCTCGAGTAGTAAATAGTCAGGTGTTCCATACCTCCCAAAATCGAAATGTTATGTTGGGTACTGCTATGGTCAACATCGTTCATTCCGGAGTTTCATATCCAGTTCGTGCGCTTATCGACCCTGGTTCAGAGGCTTCGTTCATATCTGAACATTTGCAAAAACGACTCAAATTGCCCACTCAGTCAATCTCTGCCATCGTTTCTGGGGTAAATAGTTCAACTTATGCCACTTCCAAGAAAAATTGTTCAATTCGCATCGGTTCACGCTTAGATACTTCTTTATTTGTTGATGCAAATGCTTTCGTTCTTCCAAAAATATCTGGAAATCTTCCTTCAGTGCCCCTTAGTTCTAATCTCACTTCTTGCTTGCCCAATCTTCCTTTAGCCGATGCTCATCTCTTCAATTGTAGACCTGTAGATTTGTTGTTAGGGGCAGATTTGTATCCACAGATCTTGAAGGAAGGGACGCAACGAAATGTTTTGGGTTCCCTTTTAGCCCAAAACACGATATTCGGCTGGATTCTGACTGGTCCTATGCCTTCGTCCTCAGTCCAGGTCTTTAGGACTGCGTTGGATTTTGCTGAGGATGAATCTCGCCACAGAACACTACTCCGACTTTGGGGACTTCCATATGTTCCCAAATTGAAGCATCCTTCGCCGTCGGACATGTTCTGTGAGAGGAATTATCGTCGTTGCGTCCGATCAAAATTCATCTAATTTTCGTAATTCTCGCTTACCTATACTTTCGTTGCTAGATCAGCCTTTCTTTGCTTTCAAACAGTGCACTCCTCCCCAAAGCTTTCAGTATCTAACGCTGTCATACATTGTACGTCAATCAACTATCTTGCCGTTTTCATGCCAACTTGTTTGTATTCTTGCAGAATTCGTTCACGCGATTTCCATTCATGGTGGAAATCAGCCTCGTAGCCTTCTTATCGATATTTGGTTCTCTAAAATTATGGGTTTTGTTATCAATCGTTTAATCTTCTTGAGATTTCTTGGTTGCTCTTTTTCGAAAAAAAAAATATTTACTCGAATCCTTCGATATGAAGTTGTATACGAATTTAGCGTGTCGTATCGTCAAAGGTTTGTGTATGTCTTCGTCTGCTTTTCAGTCAAAGCAGTTTCTTAGAAGTCATTTCTCCCTTGTGCTCTGCTTCATTTTGGCTGCTCTTTATCGTTTTTGATTGTCGTATTTGCCATAGGACAGAATTTGTTTAATTCGTACTGAGGCCTGCTTAACTTCTAGATCCCTTTCGATAATGTTCAACTTACATCGGGCCATCTATCTAGTCGCTCTTCCTCGTTCGCCACAGTAACCAATAATAGTCGATTTCCCTCTAAGTCTTATCAATAGACTTCTCTAGTTAAAATTTGTAGTATTTACTGCAATTTCAATATGCAATTTCAATAACTCGTTGTGCTCTGTCGTGAGCAATCACTTAGGTCCAACAAGAAATTGTTCGTCGACCAGAGACTAAATTAGTTGTAAATAGTAAAGAATAACTTCATCGTGTATTCTTTTTGTCAAAATAGTCGAAAAATAAATAATCTCAAATTGAATTATATCCGCTCCTGCTCAATAAAACTGAACTACTATACCTATCGATGCATTTAATTCACAATGCAATTACTAACCATAGTTTAAGTCGCGTACTAATTTAATATCGGTTGCCACGCAGCTAGCGCGGCAAGGTGGGCGGCAATGTTTAAGTTCGATACATTGCTTACGGCAATGTATATGTTCGATACATTGTTTCCCCTTCTACAGCATTACAATTAACCACTTTAATTGGCCGCTCTTCGGAGCCCAATGGGGAAATCTTCTCTGCATATCTTCCAGGAGCCTCATTCGCCTAGTTCGGATTGTAGGGGAGAGTTTCGCTCTCTTCTACTATATCTCCTGGAAGCCACATTCGCTTAGTTCGGATGCAGAGAGGCGCTTTCCAATGCTGTGGTCGTAGTTGTTGATCACGGCCTTGCTGTTGCTTTCATGCCCATCGCAACTTCACTTGCTTTTTAACTCTCGTTGATTAAACTTGCTTTCGAACTCTCGTAGAGTAAACTCTTGCATTATCGTTCTCGTAGAATAAACATCTCTCGCTATCGTCGTTAACGCACGCTAAGGTAAAGTCTTGTTTCTCACGAAACCCACCTACTTTACAATAACGATTGAAAATATTTACTAAACATTATTTCGTTTTTCTTTTCTTTATTTTTGGGGTTTCACTGCTAGCCAACTCTAATTAGTTTTGTGAGTTTTTTTTCTAAAGGAAAACCCAAGTTTAAGAGCGTTCATGATACCTACTTCTCTCTATGAGGATTGATTCTACTTGCGCAGTTTATTATTCATGATGGAAGGAAAATGAAAAGAGAAATCTTCCTAACGGATTTGGTCATGATTGAGCTGTATATTTTAGAAATAAAGTAAAAAAAACGTAATTTATTTTAGTTTTCATAATTTCTTTTTTTATTCATCTACATTCGTGTTTCATTCTTTTACATTACCAATTTAATAAATAAATTAATTAAAAAATAACAATAGTCATATATAAATACATATAAATAACTGGGATTTTCTAGTACATTTTCAATTCAATTTCAAGGTAAGTAAAAAGCGCTATGCGTGATATTTCGTAAATTAATTGTTTTACTTTATTATCTTCTTCTTCTTAAAATATTAATTTCTACAATTGTTTATTTCATTATTTATTGACGCTTAATAAATATTATTGTAACCATTTGTTGTATTATGTCTTCTGCATGTTTTTTTCTGGGTTTCGGCCTTCTATTTGTCACATTTTCATTGTCTACAATTTATTTTCAATTTTCGATATTTGGTTTTAGTATTTTTTTGTTTGTATTGCAATAGTTCGAAAATAGCTAGCATTTGAGATTCGAAAGCTTTTATTTTCGATTAACGCACTAAATTTGTTAAATAATATATAAATAATTTAACTACAGTATATGTGTGTATATATATCGATAGAGAGAAATGCATATAAAACTAGCGTTGTTTTAATGGACGATAGCAGTACTTTTTGATCGGGTTTATTCGGATTATATGCTTTAAATGCTAAACGAATCCATATCCAATATTGAATAGGTTGGGCGCCAAAAACATTGTTACGATACCACATGATATCGTTGTTATCGACGCATGTGTCATGTTTCTCATGAAAATCATATAATGTGAACAACCCTTTTAAAGTGTCATCTGATTAGAGAGCGCGAGAGAGATAGATGTGTTAGCAAACCTATTTGTTTGTTTCCTGGATATTTTTATTTTTCTTTGCAAATCCTTTAATAATTCCTCTCTTTAATCAATTGAGAGAAGCGTGTGATATTCACTCTCTTCCAGAGAAGTGTGTTGTAGTCTTTTGTTTTTTTTTTGTAATTTGTGATGCGAGGAAATAGCTAATGCAACGTCTCTTTATATTTTTCAAGGCGCAGAAGGTTTTCCCAATAATAACACGGACTGTTCCGGAGTATCTTCCTCATTCGAGCGGGCTATATTAAAATATGATGTCGCACTATAATTGAAGAGTTCAAAATCGTATCTGTAATGGTAAAAAAAGAAATAAGAAATCTTTAGTTTGATAATACTTTTCAGATGCCTCAAAATAAAATACACATTGACCGAATTTCGGAAGAATCCAAACGTGAAGTTGGGTTGAACGTTGTTTACATCAAAATATAAAGTTATTAGTTGTGTAGTTCCGGAACGAACTAATTCAAAGGAACTATTCCGAAGCAGAACGATTGGTAATTAGGTCCGGTTCTTTCGTTCATTTAGTACCTTTTGATGTAATCTCTCATCTAGATCGTCCCGACCGATCTTCATAGACCGAATGAACTCGCGTGACCGATTGAACTTATTAGTTGTGTAGTTCCGAAACTAATTCAAAGGAACTTTTCCGAAGCTGAACGATTGGTAGTTAGGACCGGCTCTTTCGTTCATCTAGTACCTTTTGATGTAATCTCTCATCTAGATCGTCCCGACCGATCTTCATTGACCGAATGACTCGCGTGACCGATTGAACTTTTGTGGATTGAATTGAAAAATATCGAACCGCTTTAGACATTCGGAAGTGGTGTTATGGAATAATCCAATAGGGTCAGAATCCCAAAAATTTCCCAAAAACTTATACATCCGGAATTATCAATAATCTACCATTTCCTTATTGTATAACCTTCATATAGAGGAACGATATTACTTAACTTCATATATTGGTCGGGAGTCGAGTACATCGCTAAATGATTCAATCTGTTGATAACCACATACATGGTTTCGAAGCCTGACAAGGTAAAGGTGGCACCAGAGGAGAATAATAGACCTAATTTCATATTTGCCTCCAGTAGCAAAGGCTTTCAAGGCATTATTTTTACTCAGCATCAGGGTTCGTTATTCAGTAGCAAATCATCATCGTAGGTTCCGTAAGCAATACAGTAATCGGCAGCAAAACCAGAACAATCAGTTTGTTCTGGTTTTGCTGCCGATTACTGTATCCATCCAAAATTAAATGCGAATCGTATTAAATCTATTCTCCGAAAATGGGGTATCATTTAAAGCACTGGTTCCGTGCCATATCTTTATGGGACAGTAGGATAAGCGAGTTGTGGATTATCTATCACGAAGGCTGGAAATATGCAAAACTAGTTCGCTAATGAAGTCGGGTGGAGGGGAATCATACAGGCAACATCATTATTATCACCAGTAGCAACGAATTCAGAGGCATTACTTCTACCCAGCGTTAGGGATAGTTATCGCAACAACACTGCCCAACCCTGTCTTATGTCATCCTCAAATAATAGAACAGACCCTGATTTTTTTGAACCATCATTCCTTATCGTTTGAGGACATTGAGAATACTTTCTTCCAGACAACTCTAGCGAATAATAGTGTAAGTAGAGTGAACAGCGTATTCTCTAAACTGAACTGATACATTCGGAAATATCAGACACAAAACCTATGGTCCCCCTTTTTAACACATGGGCTCGAAGATAAACTAGGGACGCAGAGAAAGAAACCTCGTTGACGTCTTAGAATTTGATTGTTCGTTCTGTAAATAGCTACGCGGTGTCTATATGGTTCACGGACAATATAATGAAACTCCGGCTGTTCCATCATATGATATTTACCTAAAACTTGGTATTTGCGGGAACATACAAAATAACATCCTAGGTGTAGTAAAAATGCATATGCAAAATCTATATCAAAATATGGCGGTATCTTTCCGATTTAGATTTAAAACGTCATAAGTTTATTGGTACGGAAAAATCGGAATCCGCACTAATATACATTGTATCGAAAAATCGTTTTTAATTTATAAAATACTTACCTATAATAATCATACAGTCCATCGATCTCTGTTCTCGTTAATTTCGAATAGAATTGTTGCAATAAGTCCAATGTATTCTTCCCCTTTCCGGGATTTTGCCATTCGGGCGCTATTATTTGTTTCAGACCAGTCTTTTCGATCAAATATAATTGATCCTCTTCCAGGGTTTCAAATTTCAATATGACATCGAAATGTATGAGGCACGGTGTACAAAATCGAGTATACGAAACAAAATGCATGTCCAGATAATTGTCATGCTTGATTTGATCCAATAGCCAGCGTACGAATTCTTGGAATGTTGGATATTTCGGTGGCTTTAATTGTAGACTCTGAAATTCAGCGAAAGAAGTAAATTAATTCAATATAATTATTGATTTTATTTTGCACACAATTGCTTTACTACTAACCTTTTTCCTGTATGTTCGTACTATTTTACGACCGAACTTATCGTGCAGTGAATGTGGTATGGCATACACGAATTTATCGCGATAAGCACTCAATAGCCTCTCAAAAGGATGGCGAGCTATTAAAAAGGTCACTGAATTGTTTTGGGCCTCGTGTAGCTGTAGTATGTTGGCGTGGCGAGGACAAAGAGGAATCGAAAAAGATGAAAATAAAAAAAGGAAATTGTAATAAAGTGTAATTAAGAGATAATTTACTTTCGAGTACTTTTTACATTCACAATATTAATGAACTGTCAAAGGGCATTTAAGGGCGCATCAAAAATAAAGGGCAACGGATAGTAAATGGATATGTAGAACAGGCAGAGATTGAATGTAAGGATAAAATAAACAATTTGTTATCGGATTGTCAATCAAAAAAAAAAAAAAAAAAAACGATAAAGAGAATATTTAAATAAAATGTGATATGGAAATAAGTGAACCTTTGTGTCTTTTAATTTATGGAAAAAAGAAGTCGATTTTAACTTTTGAAAAATCTATTTCCCAACTCACCTCATCTAAAGTAACCCGTGGGTAACGTTCACGTGCTAAGTGCAAAAATATCTCTTTGGTTTTGCGCAAAAATTCTGGCGAATATCCGGCCAGTACATTAAAATTATACATCCATGAGGAGGAGGCAGCTTTGAAAACGTTACACCTGGGGAGACACAAACGAAAATTTTAGATTAGAAAATATTTAATAGGGATGGGCTAACTTACCATATTATATGATGTTTTTTATTGACCAAAAATTCCCATGGATTGGGTTTATGCCAGGAATCATTACCTGCAATTAAGAAATGGATAAAAATTAATGGTGGAATGTATACAAATTAAAATAAAGAATTAAATAAATACAATCAATAATCTCCCGTAGATGGAGGCTAAAATCCAGTCTATAGAAAACCGAAGTGTGTAGCTTCCAACTCCTGCATATTGATGCGAAACTAAAATTTTTCCTCAATGAGTATGTTCTCTCCGATAACTTCAATCCAAAATACCTGGGCCAAATCCTTGACAGAACCGTTTTGTTTAAGACACGCCTACATATAACAGCCCAACAAATCTAATTAAATCAACATAATCTAGAAAATCACTGGGAGGAATTGTTTGGCAACGGTCAACAACCGATAACGGAGAATCGAAATGGCGCCCAGTTGACAACAGGAATACTAATATCAACACCGACATAATGGTTTCCAAGTCTTTAATACTATATAGCGGCCTTTAAAACTACCTAAGAAACTATATAGCGGGATTGTTTACCAATGACCGATCTATTCCTTTTGAACAGGTCAACGTGGTCTCCTTGTCTACGCCGCAAATAATAGAAAACCAGTAAGGAAAGTAGTAAAGTCGGACTGGGCCGACTATGTGATACCCTTCACCACTTTGGGTATATTGTGCATATATGTCCTAACAATTGCATGTCTATGATCCCTCTTTCTCCAACCTATCCTAACTTTAATTTCATTCGAGCAGATTTAGAGCCGTCTGCGTAACATGGGGAAAATTTATGAAAAACGATTTATAGCAAAATTGATACACGCTATTCGGTACGCCGCGTTGATAAAAATATAATCTATATGTGGGAGCTATATCTAAATCTGAACCGATTTTCACGAAACTTGGCACACGTAATTCTGGGCTTAATTCAGTAGACTCTGTAAAATTTCATGCAAATCGAAAGATGTATAGGGATTTTGGTGCACCATTTACATTAAATCGGACGAAACTATATACGTAAGCTGTATCTAAATCTGAACCGATTTTCACTAAACTTAGCACACATCATTCTAGACCTAATTCATTATGCTGTACCAAATTTTGTGCAAATCGAAAGATATTAAGGGTCTTTGGTACACCATCTACGTTAAATCGGACGAAAATATATATGGGAGCTATATCTAAATCTGAACCGACTTTCACGAAACTTAGCACTCATTATTCTAGGCCTAATTCATTACGCTGCTCCAAATGTCGTGCAAATCGAATGATATTAAGGGACTTTGTTACACCATTTACCTTAAATCGGACGAAAATATATATGGGAGCTATATTTAAATCTGAACCGATTTCCACGAAACTTTGCGCACATCATTCTATACCTAATTCATTATGCTGTGCCAAATTTCGTGCAAATCAAATGATATTAAGGGACTTTGGTACACCATTTACCTTAAATCGGAAGAAGCAATATATATAAGAGCTATATCTAAATCTGAACCGATTTTCTCGAAACATGGCACACACAATTCTGGACCTAATTTAAGATATAGAGGGACTTTGGTGCCCCATTTACCTTAAATCGGACGAAAATATATATGGGAGCTATATATAAATCTGAACCGATTTTTCCCAATATCAATAAGGTTTGTTCTTGGGCCAAATAAGTGACTTGTGCCAAATTTCATCCAAATCGGATCGTAAATGCGACCTGTATTTTGTTTACAATTAAAATCTACAGACAGACGACGGACAGACGGACATGCATAAATCGACTCAGAAAGTGATGGTATGCATATTATCAAAAGGAACCATGTGTCTATCTCGTTTCCTGACTACTGTTGAACTTTACATCCCATATCGTGGGGTAACTGATGGTAGAAATCTCTTTCCATTCAGTTCAGCGGGAACTTAATTTTAGCCACCCATGTGGTGAACGGTGTGCGGATATTTTTTTTATATTCTCCAAAAACTCACAGGATCAGCAACGTATGTAATGTATCGTAGACACCATGATCGTATACTCATCCGCATACATTATGATCTATATTTATTGCGGTACTATTGCAGAATGTAGAAAAGTAGATGTTCAACAGTTCCGAAGAAATCACCACACCTTGGAGAGTTTCACACAACATATTTTCGAATTCCTGTTTCTGAATTGCATTGATTATTCAACTCTTCCAATGGACGGAAGTTATCTATGTCATCAAAATGTTTAGAAAGATCGAAGGCCTTCAGTACGTCAAGAGCCACCATAACTATTCGATTTCGCGGTTCAAAAATTATGTTGGCAACTTACCACAAATTGGGAGCTTATGACGAGCACTCCACTACTGGTTAAGCCTAAGCATAACCATGGAATTTCCATCTGGAGTCAATGCATTGGAAAATATCTGCAAAGCGTATTCTCATCATTTTCGGATTTATGTTAAGGTCCAATAAAAATGGATGTTGGATTCCTGTAGGGTGTATTTGGATTATTTCCCAACAACATATTGCATCCATCTTACCGTACAGAAACTGCGATCTAATTAAATGTTCTCCAACCTATAGTTCTGTAATTTTTTATACCATCTGGTTCTTGAAGGTTGTTTTGTCATGATTTTCATACAAAGGGCCCGGCTCATTTTGCTTTGGTTCTTCATGAATCATGATTAAGTTAATGACCATTTCATAACATTGTTCAGTTGTTCATTGATACACGTCAGTGTATGAACGGAAAGATAAATATGAACTATTGAATCAAAATGGACTAGGTGAGCAAGAGGAAAAATGTGTTCAATATGGAGTAAGAAGTACTAGATGCACGAAAAAGCCGAACCTTCGTTAAGGAACGACATAACTCTAATATCAGATATCGAGTTAGTGAAAGGGAAAATTTTTCGCCTGAAAATTCTAGCACGCTTATCGGCCTGAAGATGAATATACACAAGGAATTCAAATTCTCCGATCATTAATAACGTGAGAAAAAATATTTGTAAATATGGCAACACTAATGAGCCTTTTTAGCACCTTGTGTTATTCTGTTTTTCTTCAAACAATGGAATAATACATACAAGTGAATAAATAAATATATTCTTATTTATAAATGATTTTCTAACTATTTTTACAAAACAAAAGAACGGTTTGTTTTTTATTCGACCATCTGTCAAATTTTATCTAGTAAAAGTTTTCATGGTTGGCAACATTGCACGTCGAATTCCAGAAGAAACTACCCATTTGACAGTTAACCGAATAGTCAACTGGTCTATTGTATCATGGTCGAAAAATGTTTAAAGGGCCCCATACACTATACATCATGCCGATGAACCCCTTTTTGTATATGTGAGATTGACTAGTGTATGACAAACTCTTCAATCACTATTCCAAAAAATCGATTTTTGTCCCAAAAAATGAATTTTAAGTCGTAAATTATTTTTTTTGTTCCGTCACAATATACTTCAATATATTTAGAAATATAAAAATTATTTAATAATTTTTGCCACTGAACACATGACATGCGCACATTTCGAAGGACCCTTACGAATTTGGATATATCCTAATACTTTTCGTTCTAAAAGCGTTAAAAATGCAACTCTTACTAACACACAAATTACTAATAACAATCTACCAATAATAAATAATAAATTTTCTAAATAAAACACGTACTATTTGTAATATAAATTACATACATAAATTCTAAATTTATTGCACTAATCTGTTCCGTCACAGGGAACTTCAATATATTTAGAAATATAAAAATTATTTAATAATTTTTGCCACTGAACACATGACATGCGCACATTTCGAAGGAAGATATTTTCATTTAAATTTTGAAAGCTGAATACTGTCAAAGGTAAATTTATGAAAATTTTGGAAACATATGACTGCATGAGACCACCTTGTATAATTATGCCATGACCCTGATTTGCAACCAAAAATTATTTTTAAGCATATTCATTGATTTCTAATTGTGTTTTTTGCTACACAATCAATTAAAGTGTTGATTTTATAAGTATTTTGCCAACTCTAATTAGTTTTGTGAGTTTTTTTTCTAAAGGAAAACCCAAGTTTAAGAGCGTTCATGATACCTACTTCTCTCTATGAGGATTGATTCTACTTGCGCAGTTTATTATTCATGATGGAAGGAAAATGAAAAGAGAAATCTTCCTAACGGATTTGGTCATGATTGAGCTGTATATTTTAGAAATAAAGTAAAAAAAACGTAATTTATTTTAGTTTTCATAATTTCTTTTTTTATTCATCTACATTCGTGTTTCATTCTTTTACATTACCAATTTAATAAATAAATTAATTAAAAAATAACAATAGTCATATATAAATACATATAAATAACTGGGATTTTCTAGTACATTTTCAATTCAATTTCAAGGTAAGTAAAAAGCGCTATGCGTGATATTTCGTAAATTAATTGTTTTACTTTATTATCTTCTTCTTCTTAAAATATTAATTTCTACAATTGTTTATTTCATTATTTATTGACGCTTAATAAATATTATTGTAACCATTTGTTGTATTATGTCTTCTGCATGTTTTTTTCTGGGTTTCGGCCTTCTATTTGTCACATTTTCATTGTCTACAATTTATTTTCAATTTTCGATATTTGGTTTTAGTATTTTTTTGTTTGTATTGCAATAGTTCGAAAATAGCTAGCATTTGAGATTCGAAAGCTTTTATTTTCGATTAACGCACTAAATTTGTTAAATAATATATAAATAATTTAACTACAGTATATGTGTGTATATATATCGATAGAGAGAAATGCATATAAAACTAGCGTTGTTTTAATGGACGATAGCAGTACTTTTTGATCGGGTTTATTCGGATTATATGCTTTAAATGCTAAACGAATCCATATCCAATATTGAATAGGTTGGGCGCCAAAAACATTGTTACGATACCACATGATATCGTTGTTATCGACGCATGTGTCATGTTTCTCATGAAAATCATATAATGTGAACAACCCTTTTAAAGTGTCATCTGATTAGAGAGCGCGAGAGAGATAGATGTGTTAGCAAACCTATTTGTTTGTTTCCTGGATATTTTTATTTTTCTTTGCAAATCCTTTAATAATTCCTCTCTTTAATCAATTGAGAGAAGCGTGTGATATTCACTCTCTTCCAGAGAAGTGTGTTGTAGTCTTTTGTTTTTTTTTTGTAATTTGTGATGCGAGGAAATAGCTAATGCAACGTCTCTTTATATT